GTGTGTAGAGAGGTGTATGGGTTCATTGTGTAAACATAGCATTTAACAGAAATAATATAAATTTTTTTTACAAATTGGTAACCCAATTTTCCAATTAAGTTTTGTCGGTAAATTAAAATTTGGTTCAGACCACAGTTTTGTCCATGATAATTTTTAGACGTAAATTATTAATTATTTTGCAAATTGCTAATTTAAGTTTCAGATAAAGTTTTTGTCGGTAAATGAATGTCTAGGTCTCAGTTGTACTTTTGTCAGTGAATATTTACAGATATATATTTCGTCGGTAATTTACCGACGTGACTGACTTGAAATGGGTTCTGACAGTACAGTTCTGGTAGTCAATTAAAGACATGCTTTTTGTCGATAATTTGAAGGAAGTTACCGACATGAGTTTAAGTCACGTCGGTGAATTAATTACCAAGCAAGCTTACACCAACGCGACTATCGCCGACATGATTCTTGTTGAAAATGTTTTTTACCGACAAGATCCCCTTTGTTTTCTGACATGGCTTCTTCTCGGTGATGCTGTGAATTCTAGTAGTGATTGTAAAGAAAAATTATACAAATAAATTGTTTGCATATTATTGCTCCTAGAAAAATCCGTATCCTATCTCTTAAGATATTGACATTAATAGCTTTCAGTTAAAACAAAAATTTCTAAAATTATTGCAGACCCAAAAGTAGAAGGGAAAAAGGAAAACTTATTTCTCTTACAAAAAAAAAAAGAGGATACTGTTACATTTTCTTGAAGCTACAGAGATCCTTTGTGGAATGTGTTGACTAAGGGAAGAAACCAGAATTGTTAAATGAGAAGTTGGGGTCTCCGAATTCGACATTACCATATGGGAAACCCAACCCAACCGTGGGAGAATTTGTTGTGGAAGTGGTAGCCGAGATGAGGTCAGTAATCTCAGAGTTAGAACTCTGAAAATTCAGGCTCCCTTGAACACCAGTCATCCCCTCGTCTCCAATCTGAAAATAATTAGTCCCGGTCCCGGATGCCCCAGGCGATGTAAAGGAAGGAGAAAAGTGTCCCATCACTGAAGACGAAATTAAGGCATTCTCTGCCTCTATATTTGATGTGGATGGAAAAGGGAATGAGGAATAAGGATGCGACTGGGGAATGTCTAAGTTTTCTGTTACAACTCGAAGCTCTTTCTGAAAGTTCAACAGTAAATCATTCTGTGACTGTTGCTGGTTGAGTTGCTGGGGGTTTACTAAATGAGTGTCTTGATCTTGTTTTCTGGGGGATGACGTGGGAGGGATTTGGGATGAAGAGGGGGCTTGAGTGCAAGTATGCCTTCCACGATAAGTAATCTCGAAGATCGTTGGATCTTCATCGGATCTTTGCACTTGCTTTGTAGCCAAGCAACCTTGCACATTCCTATGGGAGCATCTGTAGTAGCCCCTGCAACGATAAAAAAGGTGAAGTTTTTCTTTTTGCGTGATAGTTCTGGCACAGAATAGGGTTGGAAAACTATTGACTCGTGACACATGCTAGAAGTAAGACTTTTCAAATTCAACTCTGTACCTAGGATATCTAGCTCCGAGAATATCTTTCTGTCCATATTTCCTCCAACTAAAGCCATCATCAAGAGGTGACTCTAGTCCTGTACCAGATGTCACTGGTACAAGTTGTGTCCACCTTGGCAAAGTCTTCCTGCAACATATAAAATAAAGTCAACGTTAACATTTTTTTCGTGAAAAAGTCAACGTTAACATTTACCTCTTCAAATTTGGCATAAAATTTGGCTATATGTTGCATACATACCTTTTCTTGGGGGTATCTTTGGCTTCTGAATCCTTGACATCACGATCGGAGTCCTCACTCCGAGGGGAAGGCGGAGATTCAACCATTCTGATTGGCCCTGTCGGCTGCACTTCTGCAGCCGCCGAGGTACCGCAGTTCATGAGAATTGAAAGAGCCTTCTCATATGAAACCAGGATCCTCTGGAGCAGTAATTCCCGGCTTTCTTTGGAAGAAGTCGGAGCATTGAGATGAAATTGAAGCTGCTTAGCTAACTCCCTTCCTTGTATCAACTCATTAAGCAGATTCTTCGGCTCCAAATCTCCCATCTTCTCCATTTTTAGCAATCAAGAATAAAGAATTAGAACCAGAAAGCACGGAAATACAACAGACCCCAAAAACCATCAAAAGAAACAAAATTTTGAAAAGGGTTTAATGGGT